ATCGATGGACTCAAGCCTGGCAACAGTGAGGTTGGCCCAAGATTGGGCAGTGTTTTATCGTTCTGCCGTGCATAAGGTCACTATGAGTCGGTACTGACTCAATGGCACCTAACAACAACAACAACAAACACATACCATATTCAGAATTTTCTACCATGCTTATTATGAAAATATAACTTTTATCCTAGAAATAGAGCATTGAGGATTTCCCTGTTCACATCTTCAAGGATATTCATGGTTGAAATTTAAGACAACAAAGCCACATTTTTTTAATTGCTTGAGACATAGGACACTTCTCTGCTTTAACAGAGCAGTGGGACTGACAACATTGTTTCTCTATTGCTCAGAGAGCATTTTGATCTAAATTTCAACTAGTGGTTGATATCAATAATTTCTTAATATCAGTACATTTCCAGAGAAATTAACTTTTAAAAAATCTTTTTCATACAAAATACTCCAGTAAAATCCCTGGAAAAGAAATGGATTAATCTGGGTAACGAACCATGTGGGGCTAATAGTTTTAACAATACAACTAGGATTTGGGTTTAGAGACACCGATTTGCTGTTGAAGAAGTATAGATATCTAGCTAAAACCTCCAGTGTATGAGGGAAGCTTCAAAAACATTGTGGAAAAATTCCACCATCTTACATTTTCTTTTTCCATGAACTTTTGGAAGCATTTTTACAGTTGAATAAATTGTACTTGTAATTACCATGTTTTTCCACTGGGTGGACTTCTTGATGCTAGGTTTTTTAACTGTCAGTTGTCTGAAGAATTATTGAATTGATAGAAAGTCCTTTAAGGATCTTTAGTGTACTGTGTATTCTTCACCTGTCAGGTTGGCTTATAACTTTGGATGTTTGTAAGAGTTTTTAATTCCCTTACAAAGTTCCCAATAAAGCTTGTTCAATCTTTCAAATTTCTTTAAAAAATTTTTTTCTTCCCTGTTCGGTGTTACTTGAATTGTTGGTTACATTTTATTTTGTGAAAATACGAGCAAGTGATTTGTAAAATAATATACAAATGGCTTCATTATTGCCTCCCACTGGTAATGAAGAATTATGGGGACTCAGACACTGCTTCTGTTGATTACTGAACAGGAAGGCAGGAATTTTTGCCCCCCTAAGTCTTCTGGCTCCTATCAGTATACACTGTGTCTGAATTTCCACAATTGTTATAAATTTACATTTGCACACATGTATGAGAGGGCTTCAAAAAGTTCCTGGAAAAATTCCATTATGTTTTCATTCTATTTTCCCATGCATTTTTTTTTTTTTGAAGCCATGCCATGATTATGAATTGCTTTTTAATTTTGTTCCACCAACAAGGATGAGAAACTGGGGACACGGCAGCATATACTTACTTTAGATCAGGACCAAGTACCCTCAGCAGGTACAGAATCAAATACTTGCATCACAGTTTCAGATCATCTCTCCATCTCCGGAATGCCTGAAGAGCACATACACTATGGCCCCGCCCATGTGGTTGTTTGTTCATAGGATGGAGCACGAATCTCTAAGGACCATGTGCGGCCACTGGGAAAAATGAGGTAGCAGAGGTGGTAGGCCGTCCAGAGGACATTCAGTCACTCCCGGTGCGCCACCTGGTCACCATGCTGGTTTTTCACACCTCTCAGAGGTTCCGTAAGTGCCGGGCACATGCCTGCTTCATCTCATTTCAGTGTATCGGCAAAGTCCAGAGAGATGTGCTGAGCGGAACAATGTTTGGATTTGAGCACAGGTTTTACAAGATCCTGTGCTCATGGCCCCAACCTGCGCCAGGAGGTCCTTCCTGGCCAGAGAGCATGTTTCTCAGGGAATTCTTATGTCTTCTCCTTGGTGTTACCTGTGAATGCTCACCTGTGTGCCGGGGGCAGTGTCCTCTTTGTTACCTCCACTCCAGCTTACCCTGAATCTCTAATAACAGGGTTTTCAATCTTATTTGCAAATGTGAATTTCAAAGCACTCACAAGGCAAGAGGACTTCATTTTCATTGTGGCAGAACTTCTGGGCTAAATAGACTCTTCTACACTCATGGATCCATACATTTAAATGAACCTGAAAAAGACAATGTGATTTTCCAAAGCACAACCCACATAATAGTAGAATTTACAAAGCAAATCGCTTAAGTTGGAATTCTCTTCCATGTGTTTGGATTCTGCTGGTTCAGAAGTAATAAAGCATGACTCGTCCCACAGAACCCTGCCTTAACCAATATCTTCCCCTTCCCTGAGAGAATGTAAAGCCAGGGTCCTTTTCCTGAAATAAGTTGTCATTTAATTAAAGAGCAAAATGAACAGGAATCAAAATGTTGCAGCTGTCATTTTTTTGTTAGACATTATATATAAAAAAAGGAAAAAGTATAATACAAGACATTGTTTTATAGAACATGAACTTAAAGAGTTTCAAGTGAATCGTGATCAGAATAGAAATGCCTTTTCCACATAATACTGAATGACACCATCCCGGGCAGCCTGGACATGCAAGTCTTCCGTCCTATTCAACTGCCATCTCTGGAAAACACGGGTCAGAGGCAAAGGGCAGTTGTCTTCTGGTCAAGTTATTCGGGCTTCATGGACCCCTACAGGTCACAGGTCACACTCTTCAGACACCCAAGAATGAAGCGTGCGTTCCGGCTGCGGCTCGGGCAGGTCCAGTGTGCGGGAGCCTTTCCTGGGTGTGCTCCCGTTTCCCTCGGATGCGTCAGGCGATCTCGAGCTGAGCTTCAGGGAAATTCCCTGACAAATGTTCAGTGTTGGTATCAAAAATTAAACACAAATTCTTCTCAGAAGAAAATCTCTAGGGCCTGTGGAATCTAGAATTATAAAAAGACAATTTAAGGAGATGGGTTTCTAACACTTTTGAGTAAACATTTCCAAACACCCTCACAAATAAGCCTGCAACGATTAAAAGCTTCTGCAAGTCCAGCACGTGAACCGTGAGGACGGAGCTGCTCTGACTGAAGTGGAGACTCCGAGGTCCCAGACACGTACACTGGATTTTACAGGGCTGCCTAGTGTCATTGTTAAGGGTCAGGCTGCTAACCTCATTGTCAGCAGTTTGAAATTACCAGCTGTTCCGCAGGAGAAAAATGAGGCTTTCTGCTCTTGTAAAGCTTTACAGCCTTAGAAACCCTGTACAGGGTCCCTATGAGTCGGAACCGACTCCACGGCACATCACCGCCACCAACAGCAGTTGTAAACCTTGTAAGAACATAGAAAGCCCCGGGTGTTAGTAAGAAGTAATGGATTAGACCACAAATAAGATGCTCACTACCTCCTCTGATTGGGGAAGCCTTTAAAGCATGAGAACAAATACTGACAAAGCCACTCCTGCACTGAAGTCTTGCTGCTGTGAAGACCCCCTAGGACTAAAGGTGAGAGAAGTCTGACCATGACCACCAGCTACAGCTGTGGGGGAAAAGGGGGGACACGACTCCAAAGGCATAGACAGCTAACTTCTCTCCCAACACCACTGTCGTCAAGAATTCACCTTCATCTCTTTTCTGTGATGCCGAGGATTCTATGTCTCTCATTGAAAGTCACTTCCCAGCACCAAGGACAGTGGAGTGGTGGTGGTGGTGGTGTTGAAGTGCCACTGAGTTCATCCTGACTCATGGCGACCTTGTTGTATAGTGTTTCCAAGGAGTGGCTGGTGGGTGGTTTTGAACCTCTGACTTTCCAGTTAAAATCAAATGATTATCTTACAGTGCTAAATGGGAATCGCCATTCAAATAAGGTAGAAAAAGTAAAGGGGAAGGTGATAGGTAATTTGACGGTGATTCTATACATAGCGATCTGGGGCGTTCGGAATACTGGAGAGAGGAAATAGAAACCTTACTTGTATTGCTTTGAGGTAGACTTGATTGACTATTAACTACTCATAAACCGGTGGCCTCTATTAATACTGCTCTCCTACATACGAGGGGCTTCAAAGCCCATTATCTTCTCATTTCATTTGCCCATGATCTTGTGAAGCCCTCTCGTACTGAGTTCTGGAAGAAAGCACAGCTTCTTCACCCGGGGGTGGGGGGGTGCCTTGTCCACTCAGCAGGGTCCTTTGCAGAAATGCTAATTTTTGTGTAGCTAAACGTACAGCCCTGAGTGGTTCTGACAGATTCAAGATTCACACCACTCCCCTTCCCGTACCCTATTAAAAACACGTTATAAGTATCATAAAACTCAAGAAGACAGCAATCTGACCTTGTCAAGTGCTTGCTTGATGCGTGGACCTCCATTTCATTACTTTTGTATTCATTTAGTTCTTTACGAATAGCTGCCTGCAATTTCAAAACAGGACACTGTGTGTCAGGAAATCAAACAGCCAACAGAGGGAGCTAGTATTATGGTTAGGGTTAACAGCCATCCCGACTACTTTACTTCTGTTAGGTTGCTGGAAATGGTAACCTAAGAACACTTTTTGCTCCGCAGGCAGACTGCCCTCCTGCCTGTAGCCCTACTAGCTAGTGGTGGTGGCTGGGCGCACGGGGGACTCTAGCGTGCTCAGCGGATACAGCAGCTGTGTGGAGTCAGAGAGCCCACCCGCATCCTAGCCCTCCCAGCTTATGTGTGCAGTCCTAAGGAACACCAACAGCCCAGCAACCCAGGCTAAATTCACCTTTGGGTGGCTTCACTTGGAATTTTGTAATTAGGGAATTACAAGTTACATCGGTGTGACTCAACAGACAACATTCTACTGTGAATTCACATGACCTTTTTTTTCAGTGATGAGACCCCCTCACCTGACCCACGACCCCCTTTCAACTGGTAAACCTCTCTCAGGTAAACACCCAGGGGCCATCAGGCACAGCCCCAGGGAGAAGGGCAGGCTGTGAGCAAGACGGGTGGGAGTAAAGTTGTCTCACTCAAACCCCTCTGCTCCGGATGGCCTTTTCTTCCCCTCCCATCCTGGGAGCCAAGATCCCATCAACCCGAAAGCCGAGTCCAGCCTCAACAGCTCTCCCTCTCTCCAAGCCATGCACGACCTTGAACACTGAGCTCACACGGTCAGACCCAACAATCACAGAACCAGGAAGAGTAAGTTCAGCAGTGCTAGTCTCCACTTCTGGAAAAGGCTTCCTGAGTTCTGAAAATCAAGTGAGGAGGCAGAGAATCTAGTCTGATGGACGATTTGGAGACAACAGTCCTGGGTGTGAACCCTGTCACATCCACTGCTGACCACAGGCTGGCACCTGCTCTCATGGATCAGAACGCATGCTGACCACCCCGGACAGGCAGGTGCCCTGTGGACCATAACACACGCTGACCACCACAGACAGGCAGGTGCCCTCAGTTTCAGACCTGAAGGGTGAGGCTCCTCTTTTGTCATCTGATGGCTTTTCTGCCAGTCCTGTCCACTGCCAGTCCCCAGACCAGGGTTTCTCAGCCCCTCCCCTTTTGCCGCTAGGGGCAGGATCGATCTTTGTGGCAAGGGCTGTCCTGTACATGCACTGTGGAGTTCCTAGCACCCACAGCTGTACCAACCATAGGGGTCCCCAGTGTCAGCTGTCCCCAGGGGGAGAACCTCTGCAGGCCCCTGACCCAGGATGAGTTTGTTCTGTGAGACCCACATCAGGCCAGTCCTAACTTCACGTCCACTGCTAGTGACGCCCGTCCTACCTTATCTGCCGCCGACAGCCGCGTCCAGGGCTTGTCTGCCCTCCGGTCATAGTCCTGCGCTTTCGCTACTTCCACGTAATCGCTGAACCGGATCAGGATTTTCCTGTCTCGCAGCTCATCCACGGTGGGTCTCTGATTAAGCTGAAAAGAAACATCAGCAGAATGAGGTTCTCCAGGATCAACGACCAGCACTCAACACTCCTGGGTGGCGCTGCAGGGTAAGTGCTGGACCGCAAGGTCAGTCTGAACCTCAGGGTCAGTGGTTCAAACTCACCAGCTGCTCCTCAGAAACCCTAAGAATCAGAACCGACATGACGGCACTTAGCAACAACAACAACACTGTGAACACACACTCTGACACGGTGTAATGCAACCCTGATCGCTACGTGAAGGGCTCACATGACCTACACTGAACTCTCAGTCCCAGCAACCAAGCAGCCCTGCACAGCCCAGCCACGGGTACAATTTCTCTCCAAGTACCACCAGGTCAACCAAGACCCATGGTCACTCAGAGAGCCTCCTCAGGGGTCTCCAGAGGAGCCCACAGCCACAGCATTCTCCCACCGAGTGGCTGGTGGGTTTGAACCGCCAGTCTTGTAGTTAGCAGTCCAGTGAGTATTCTCCAGAGCTCCCTAGATGGGCTTCTTATAATGATGAAGTGAAACTGTCAACACTGAGCACTCGTAAGTCAAGCTCAGAAAGGACGTTCTGCTAGCGTCCAGCAGGAACGATGGGGCCCGTGGAGGAGAGGGAACACCAGAACACGTCAACCACACAGAGCCACGTCTACAGAGCTGCTTCCTGCATCGGCCGCAGTACATTGTAACTACTTGAGGGGTAGAAACAAACCGACTGTCTTAAATGGAGGGATATTAATAAGTTACAAGGTACCACAAAGAAAGTGACTACACCTTCACATCAGTATAAAAAAGGAAAATTCAGAAAGAACCCTGTACAGGGTCGCTATGGGTCGGAACCGACTCGATGGCACTTAACAACAACAACAACAACACAACAGAAATGAAAAGAAAATCCCCAAACAGAATGAACTCAGAGCAGAGAGCTATGGGAACAGAGAATTCAGCAGGAACGCCCAAACAGAAATTACACAGCACAACAACCCTACCCATCACTAAGGGGAGCGTCAGAGAACTAGAGGAAGACCCCCAATGAGATGGACTGGCCAAGTGGCAGCATCAATGGACTCAAGCATGGCAACAGTAGTGAGGCTGGCCCAGAATCGGGCAGTGTTTCATACAGCTGTGCATAGCATCGCTATGGGTCAGTACCGACTCGACGGCACATAACAACAACAACATCAGTAATTACACTGTATGTAAATGGACTAAATGTAAAAATCCAGAGGCAGAGAGAGCTGAATGGATCAGAAAACAGGGTCCTTCAATATGCTGTCTACAAGAGACACATCAAAAAGATGACGGGAGCCTCAGTGCTATCAATAGAGAAATGGGTAAAGAAACTGGTATGGACACACAGTGGAATACTCCGCAATGCTGAATAACAACATGGATCTGTAAAACATCCCCACTACATGGATGACCCCAGAGGACATTATGCTGAGTGAAATTAGTCAATCACAAAAGGACAAGTAGTGTATGAGACCACTGTTGTAAAAAGTGAAGGTTTTCTTGATAAAAGAAACATTCTATGATGGTTCCGGGGGGTCAGGGAGAGGAGGAGATCATTCACAAGATAGTGGGTAGACACATGTTATCATGGGTGACAGGACAGGCAATATACAAGAGGGAGGTTAGCAGAGGAAAGATGAAGGTAGTGGGAGACACGGAGGAATGCAGGAATTTAAGGGGACACAGGTACACGGAGGGGATTGCAGTCATTGTAATACAGTATATGGTTGTTGAATGTAAAGCTGATGATCTGCTCTGTAAACCTTCACTCAATTCACACAAAAAAAGTTCCAAAACAAATTAAATAACCATTGAGGCCAAGAGTTTTCTACGAATTTCCAATCAAATTGAAGGCGCCCCCAAACAGCGACCACCTAAAAGTGGCCTCAGGTATGCGTTCACAGGCTTGTGTGCCATGATGGCCAAGGGAGAGAGCGCCCACTCGACTCCCAGCCTCCCCCGGGAAGTGAAAACGTCAGCTGGGTTGTGCTGGCTCTGCCACACACACCTCTACCCCGTGCTGGGAACGGCCTCCCCTGTAGGGGAGGTTCACCTGTACTGGGATGTCACTGAGGGATCGGTGAGTGGATTCTGAACTGATGAACGTCATCAGTAACCCAAACCAAACCCGCTACTGTGGACTCGGTTCCAACTCATAGCAATGCCATGGACAGAGGAGAACTGCCCCACAGGGTTTCCCAGCTTCTCATCTTGGCAGAAGCATCCGGCCACATCTTTCTCCCTTGGAGCAGGGGACCTTGTGGTTAACAGCCCATCACTTAACCCACTGCACCACCAGGGATCCACACTGCCCCGTAAGTCACTCAACATCACAGCACCACCTGTCCTATTGCGTAACGGGCACTGTAGGCTCGTCTGCCCATTTGTAACTTCAGGAGACACGATGCTTCCACCATAGTACCTTTCTGGTCAGCCTCTGCTTGATCTCCCTTCTTTCTTCCTGCTCTGTCTGGTCATTCCTTTCTGTGAGAGAAAACAGTAGGAAACACATAAAACGGAGGAAAGCTACAAGTGAGACAGTCTCTCTTGAACAGGGACATGAACTCAAGTCCTCCAGTCTCCAGTAGCAGGTGGTGGAAGAGTAGGGGGATGGGGGGGGGACGGGGGTGTCACCTCTCAGGAGGTAGGGGCCACACTGCTACACAGAACCTTGTCCTAAGCGGAGCTTGGCCATGGCCCCAGCCAACGTCTCCTCACCCCACCTCGATGGCAGAAAGGGGCCCACACTGCTGCTGTGTGGTGCCAGCAGGAGAGAGGACATCAGCATCTCTCAGTCTGTCTCCTCCTCCCTGCCTGCAGCCAAACCGCGACTCACTCTGTGAAGCTGGAGTTCCTATGTGGTGGGAATCATTATGCACACAACTGCCAACCCACAAATGGGAGGTTCAAGTCTACCCCCGGGGGTGCCTAGAGATCTACTTCCCCAAATTCTGCCACTGAAAACCCAAGGGAGCATATTTCCACTCAGACACACATGGGCTCTGCCGCGCTGGACCTGACTGAATGGTCTTTTAGATCTAGGAACACAGATGGCACAGAAAAATAGTCCCAGTGGAAACACGGGTGAGTGTATGTTCACAGCACTGCCACGGGTGATTGGTTCCTTCTCATTTAGTAAGCGTGTGCACTTTCTAGCCAATCAACAGACCAGCAAACCCCTCCTCAGGTCCCGAGCACCACACAGCCTGCCTGCCTGTCTGCCTGCCTGCCATCTCTATCTGCAGCGTCTATGTACACCAAGAGAGACACGTGAGCCCAGTCTCCACTGTGAGATCAAAACACTGATTCGACCAAGTTCTGAGCCCTCAAGTCGATTCTGAAGCAGGGCAATCCACGTGTTACACTGTGGGACGGGCTTTCCTGGCTGTCACTGTCGTTGACAGAGCTTCCTAAGGAAGGCCAAGTCTCGTCTCCAATTCGCCTTTGCTCAGTGAGTTGTGACGATTAGCAAACAGGCTGTGTTCACACCTACACTTGGAAGCTAAAAATAGACCCAAGCGTGGCCACATAGTAAACTGTACGCTTTGCCCTGCAGTACGAGAGAATGGATGTTCTATTCTGGGGTCTGCCGTTGCTAAAGAAAGCCTCCAGTTCCTGACCTGCCAGGGCCCCCGCTCTGGAGAGAGGATTTAACCACCAGCATGCCGAGAAATACCACCGTGGTTTGGCAAGGGGAAACCCGGCAGTTTGCAGCTGTTAGTATAAGTTCACATACTCTGCCTCTGAAAGGTGTTTGCAGGGACTGGGTGTTTACTCCATCAGCCATGTTTTTTTTCCATTATTTCTCAGTGTAAGAAAAGAAAGCAAAATTCAGGTCCTATCAGGGCAGACCATGACACCTGTGGGGGCGGCCTGGTTTTCTTGCGCTTTGCTGGACTCTGCCAGGTGGACAGCGCGATCTCTCACAAATTGACGGCTGCTGGTGGCTCGGTGGAGCAGTTGATGGCACCGTCTTCCCAACAACATCGGCTCATTTTGTGTCTGTGTCCCATTATGGTCATCCTGACAAGATTCCTGACTTTGGCATAATGCTATTTGTACACTCAACAGATGCCGTTGTTGTTGTTGTTGTTGTAACGTGCCATCAAGTCGGTTCCAACTCACCATGACCCTGTATAGGGTTTCTGAGGAGCAGCTGGTGGGTTTAAACTGCTGACCATTTGATTTGCAGTCCAGTGCTTATCCTACAGTGCCACACCAGGAGTCCAGTGGGGCATAAACATAATTTTCATGATGGGGCTTCAGAAAGTTTGTGAAAAAATTCCATTATCTTTCATTTCATTTTTCCTATGAAATTTTTGAAGCCTTCTCAGACATGCACTGGGAAACCAAAAAATCATATCACTTAGATGTTTGCCTTATTGTGGTGGTCTGTCCTTGAACTCACAGTAACGCTCAGGTATGTCTGCATGTGCTTGATTTTCAACTAAGTGATAACTTGAAGAAACTTTCAATAAGCAGTAGGCAGTGTCCCGATGAGAAATCCAAACCAAACTCATTTCCACTGAGGGGACCGATGCCTGGTGTTAAAGACTTTGTGGCTCTTAAGGAAGCTGATTGATTGCCAGGACTTTCTTCCATGGTACCACCAGGGGTGTTCAACTCACCAACCTTCAGGTCAGGAGTCAAGCACAAACAATTTGTACCACCCAGGGATTCACAAAACTGGACAAACAGGTAGTGAAAAATACCCACAACATGAAGGCAAACATCACACCAGGACAGCCATGGAGACTTCCGTGAGAGCATGAAACTAAGTCTACAGCTTTCCTAGACAGCCTGTGGACAAAGTCATATCCTGGTGAAAAATTGAGAACAATGCAGACTTCATTCTCATCATAAAAATGCGTTGTCTTTATGGCCAAGGTTGCCTGAGCACCAATAGGCTCTTGGACAAGAGGACCTGGTGGGGCATCCCTTCCTGGTAGCTAAGCCCCCACCCACTCTGCTCCTGCTCCCCTTAGAGACAGGTTAGGGGATCACCATGCCCAGCTCAGACATGCCTCCCCAGTGTGCTTCGTGTCCTCTAGGTAAATCCTTTAGACAGAACAAGGGCCCGTTGCTAGAACCTCTGCTGGAGTCCGTTGTCCAGTGATGCCAACTACACTGCCTCTGGTGGGTTTGAATTGCCAACCATTTGGCTAGTTGTCCCATACCTAATCATCTGTGCCACTCAAGGACCCCTCTCAGAACTTCTAGACCCATCTGTTGTGGAAATCCAGCAGCTAAAATAATTATGTAGTAGTCTGCTGTAGATAATCAGAAATGCAGTGGGCAAGGACCAGGGCAGTGCAGCCCTGCAAACCTGGTGTGGGACTCTAGCTCCAGGTCCTTGCAGGTGTTCACCTCTCAACTCCTGTCACCTGGGTTCCTCACCAGGTGTGCTGTGATGATAAAATGAGGGCACACATATAACGCACTGAGTGCAGCTCCTAGAATGGAGCGGTCCTGAGAAAGAACCACCATCACCATGATCATCACTATGACCACCACCATTCCCATCACCACCATCATCATCACCATCACCACCACCATGATCATCACTATGACTACCACCATTCCCATCACCACCATGATCATCACCATCAACACCACCATCATCACCATTATGACCACCACCATTCCCATCACCACCACCACTATTTCCATCACCACCACCACCATCATCAC